CAAAGCACTGTCAGAAGAGTAGTTGGGGGTGGGATTATAATTGCAGGGCTTCAGAAAGTCAGTAATGAAAAATCAGAGCAATTGATTCAGACTACACAAACACGTTTGCAAAAGGGGGCAAAATAGTAGACTAGCTAGAACATTGAGGTGAAGAGAGAGTTTTTCCGGACAGGTCATCAAATATAAAGCAAAAGAGCAATCTTGTGGAGATGGGTGACTGAAAAAATGGTGAGAAAGAGGTATTAATGGAAGCAACAAATGCTTTCAACACACAAATTTGAGTGCACTATAAGCACTTTTAGATGTTGGTTCCCAAACTACCGTCCTAGAACCAGAGGTAGTTGACAGCTTCCACTGTTTTGTGGAAAAATTAGAGATACAAGGGCAATATTGTGAGTGTTCAATTAGGCTGAATATACTGTGTCCTTCTCCTTTTGGTATTATGTTGGCTTTTTTTTTTTTTTTTTTCTTTTTCATTGAAACATAATTGATTATACATGTTTGTGGGGTACAGGGTTAACTATCAATACCAGTGATATAATATGTGATGATCAAGTCAGGATAGTTAGTATAGTCATCATTACAAAACGTAATCATTTTTTGTGTGCATTAACCAATTTCTTGCTGTCTGCCCTCCCTGATCTCCTTTTCCACCTCTTAGTAACCCCAGTTCTGTTCTCTGCTTCTGAAAGTTTAATATGTTATTATGATTGGTCTTTCTTTTTCTTCCTTCCTTCCTTCCTTTCTTTCTTTCTTTCTTTCTTTCTTTCTTTCTTTCTTTCTTTCTTTCTTTCTTTCTTTCTTTCTTTCTTTCTTTCTTTCTTTCTTTCTCTCTCTCTCTCTCTCTCTCTCTCTCTCTCTCTTTCGCTCTTTCTCTCTTTCTCTCGTTCTTTGTCTCTTTCTATTTATTTATTTTTTAGCCCCTGTTTATGAGTGGGGACATGCAGTATTTCTCTTTCTGTGCCTCGCTTATTTCACTTAACATAATTTTCTCCAAGCTCATCTGTGTTGCTGCAAATGGCAGAATTTCATTCTTTTCAGTGGCTGAGAAGTATTCCACTATGTATATAAACCACTTTCCTTATCCAATCATCCATCAATGGACATTTAGATTGGTTCCATATCTTGCCTGTTGTAAATAGAGCTGTGATAAACATGAGAGTGCAGGTATCCCTTCAACATGATGATTTCCATTCCTTTGGGTGTATACCTAATAGTGGGATTGCTGTATCATATGGTAATTTTATCTGTAGTTGTTTGAGAAACCTCCATACTGTTTTCCATAATGGCTGCGCTAATTTACAGTCCCACCAGTAGTGTAGAAGGGTGCTCCTTTCTCCATATTCTCACCAACATTTGTTATTTTCTTTTTGATAATAACCAGTCTAACTGGTGTTAGATGATACCTCATTGTGGTTTTGATTTGCATTTCCCTGATGACTAATGTTGAGAATTTTTACATGTTTCTGTTGGCCATTTGTATGTATTCCTTTGAGAAATTTCTATTTAGCTCATTTGCCCATTTTTAAATTGGATTATTTGGTTTTTTATTGTTATTTGAATTTCTTGTATATTCTGGATATTAATCCCCTGTCATATGTATAGTTTGCAAATATTTCCTTCCATTCTGTAGGTCGTCTTTTCACTCTGTTGATCGTTTTCTTTGCATGCAGAAGCTGTTTAGTTTGATATAATCCCGTTTATTTTTCCTTTTGTTGCCTGTGCTTTTGAGGTCTTATTCATAGAGTCTTTGCCCAGTCCTACATCCTGAAGTGTTTTTCCTGTGTTTCCTTGTAGGAGTTGTATAGTTTCAGGTCTTATATTTAAGTCTTTAATCCATTCTGAGTTGATTTTGGTATATGGCAAGAGGTATGGGTCTAGTTTCATTCTTCTACACATGGATGTCCAGTTGTCCTAGCACTATTTATTGCAGAGGCTTTCCTTTCCTCAATGTATGTTCTTGGTGCCTTTTTGAATACATGGATTGATTTATGGATTCTCTATTATGTTGTATTGGTCCGTGTGGTTTTTTTTTTTTTTTTTTTTGTCCGGGTGTTTTTTTTTTTTTTTTTTTTTTTTTTTTTTTTTT